AGCTGGTGTTGTGAATCAGGCCGACAGCAGCGCATCCTCTTACCCGGCTATTTCACGACACCAGGGTTGCATCATACTCATCCTCTTCAGGAGAGCCTCGTGGGACCTGGCCGGACCTGGAATTCGGGGCAGGGCGGGCTTGGGTGGCTGTGTGAATGAAGCCTTGGTTCTCTGTGACACCTGCTCCTCAAAATCACCCAGGGAGCTGTAAAGCTATTGATGCCTACCTCTCACCCCCCTCCACCCAGACCCTGATGGTCTCCAGGGTGCAGCCCAGAATTAGTGGCTCTGTGTTTGGCTTGATGGTTGTCATAGCACCCGCCAGCCCTCACTGTGTCTTTTGGCCTTGTGCTGTTTACCATACTACGGGTCTGCTTGCCAGAAACAGGAGCTGACAACCCCAAGACAAGAGCCAGGCTCCTGCTCCTGGCATTTGAGACTCTTCCTGTCAAGGTTCTGTATTCAGAAATGACACTACCATTTCCCCTGTGGAGTCTTCCCTGCTTCCTGTTCCCAGCCCCACACATCCATACGCTGGCCTCGTTAGCTCTGCCTTCAGAATGTGCCACCCTACCTGCCACCCCCACTATGAACCCAACGCAGCCTCTGGCTGATCTCCCTTAGTCTGATCTGCACACCCCAAAGTGATCTTTGAAAAACGGAAATCGGAAATCTGACCATCACCTAACAGAACATGAACTTGTACCCTGGCCGATAAGGCTGATCTTCTTTCTTCCATGTATCAAACCCAATCTTCTTGTTCATCAAAGCCTTGTTTTTCTCAACTCCAAAGCCACACTTCTGTCTCAGGGCCTTTGCACATACCCTCCCCCTGTCTATAACCCTCAGAGTGCCTGCTTACAATGTGGGAAGTTCTGGCTTCTCATTGTAGGAGCTTAACCTAAAGTTTTCATCATTAGAAAGTCTAATGCCCCTACCTAAGAAAATGCTATTTTTTCCCCTTCATAGCACATCTGGTTAAATGTATTATAACAAATGCTTATTTCTATTTATGTCTGTCTGTACTAGAATGTGAGCTTGGGGCTGGGAAGGTGGCTCAGTGGTAGAGCGCTTGCCTTGCATGCGTGAGGCCCTGGGTTCGATTCCCCAGCACCACATAAACAAAAAGGAAAAAAAAAAGCTAGAATGTGAGCTCCCAGTGGGCAGGGTTGCTGTCTTGTTCTCTGTAGCACTTGCCAAGCACAGGGTATGGTATCAAGTAGGCACCTAATAAATGTGGTAGAATGAGTGAAGAGACCATTGGAACCCTTTCAGCTTCATATCTACCACTTACTCCCTCTTGTCATCCCTCTCCTCTCTCCAGCCCTCAGCACTGGTCACTCCATTCCTCCCCACCTCATGCCCTGCATGGTCTCATCCCCATGGCCAATGCAGACAAGACGCCCAATGACCCAGAGAGCACACTGGCCCCCCTGTCCTCAGTGCCCCCAAGGAAGACTCCAGTCCTTTGCTGTCCTGGGCTTCTTCCTGGTTGCCAGAAGGCCAGGGGCCCTGCACCGCTCAGCTGGGGCTTGACACTGGATGGGCGGGCGTAGCGGGGATTGGCCGGTATGGGTGCCATTTCTGTCTTCTGATAGAGAAGCAGAACCTCCCCCATTCTCCTGGTCAGGTGATTTCCAGTCCCCCAGAACCCCGCAGGACCAAGACTCCAGGGTCAGATCATACAGCCTCGCTCAGGGTCAGAGACATTTCAGGTCTGGGGGACTTTGGGGATCAACCGGCCATAGACAATCCTGGAAGGTAGGGCCTGCATGACCCAGCTCTGTGTCCCCCATCAAAAAGGGTGCCTCTGTGAACATTTCCCTCATTAACTTCCACCCAGTTGCAAGGGGGGGGCGGGGAGGGTACTGTGCTCAGGGCAGTTTCTGCAACTTATCCTATAAGCCTTCAAGGGGTCCTGCATAAGCCTAGGGAGATATAGGGGTGGGCAGAAGAGGGTTCCAGAAGCAGCCCAAGCTCACCTCCAGGGCTGACAGAGGCCAGGGTTGTTTGGAGGAGATGAAAATTACTTACTCAAGGTCACACAGGGAATTTGTGGCCTCTTATCCTGCCCACAGCCCCTCTCCTTCGCTGATCTTAATCAGGAATTTTCCATCGCCTCCAGGGACAGGGTGTACAGAGAGTGTGGGGTGTAGCTGTGATTTTGCCAGTCAGTCAGCAGTTTAAGAGCAGAGGGTGATAAGATCTTCCCCCTCCTTCCCTGCAGGAGGCAAAATGAGTTAACTCTGCAGTAACTGGAGGGGGGGTCTCCCTCCTGGCCCCAGTCCAGAGCAGAACCTGCAGGGAAGGCTTAAAAGTGGCCCTGAAGGAGGCCCTTGCCTTCAACCTGGGGTTAGGAAGCTAGAGAGGAAGGGCAGGTGGGCCTTGGTGCCTTAAGAAAGGCCCTGAGCAGATTCTTGGAAAAGTAACCTACAGTAGACATACCAAGTGCAGAAAGGTACACGGTGATGGTCCCCCTTTGGGTTTGTCATCGGTCTAGTTTTCTGCAGATCACCTCTTCATGTCCAGGAGAGGCAGATTCCTTGACTCTGTGGAGCCTGAGGACTAATTTGCCAACCAAGGGTCTCTAAGGTGGCCACGCTGCCCTCCTGGATCCTGCATCCAACAGGCAACAACTGATCTGTGCTTTCTCTGTGCAGACATTGGCAGAGAACAAAGCATGCAGATCCCTGAATTTGAGGACTGCTGTTTGCACACGTTGGATGGCATGTATGCCCACCCACCCCAGAAGGAAGCTTGATCACACTTTTGTGGGGTCTCAGGACCCTCACCCCTGAGAGGGGCTCTCACACACAGTTTGCCACTCAAAGCCAGTGTGAGCCTTTCCACTGGTCCTCTGACCTATCCCAGCTCCCTGGGCTCAGGAGGCCTCTGGCAACCCCAATCTACCATGCTTGACTCATTGTTGAAACCTCAGGAGTAGGCTTGGGGGGCGAGGGGGAATCTGTGTAGGCTCAGAAATAGGGAAAGAACTTAGCATCGGTGGCTCATGGCTGTAATCCTAGATATTCAGGAGGCCGAGATCTGAGGATTGCAGTTTGAAGCCAGCCAGGACAGAAAAGTCCATGAGACTCCTCCAATTAATTTACCCCCACACCAGAAGTAGTGCTGTGGGTCAAAGTGATAAAGCACCAGCCTTGAGCAAAAAAAGCTCAGGCTCAGTGCCCAATTCCTGAGTTCAAGCCCATGACTGAGATAAAAAGAAAAGGAAAGAAGGAAGGGAGGAAGGAAGGAAGGGAGGGAGGAAGGAAGGAAGGAAGGGAAAAAAGAAAGAAAGAAAAAAGAAATGGGGGTAGAAAAGTAGCAGAAAATGTGTCCTCCATCTTTCTCTGGACCTTGAACAGAAACGGAGTTCCGATGACTAGAGCTGGCAGTGGCCCCTCTGCCTGCCTCCATCCTCTGCCTCCAGGAGGAGCCATGCGGGTCAGGGCCCCCTCTTCCCCTCTATCCTGGCTATTCTATCCCTCCTCCAGGACCATCCCTCCCACACTGCCCTTCCCACACAGCTGGGCTGAGCTCCTTCCACGGCTCATTCCCCACGAACTCCTGCGTGGAGCTAGTTCCCTACAAACACACATGATGGGAGTAAGTAAATGTCTGTTGGGTGGGAAAAAGGAATTCTGTGATTTTCTCGGAAGCTGCTGAGACAGGACAGGGGAGTGAGCAAGGCATCCAACAGGGATGGTTGTTAGAGCCAGTATGCCTGGATGGGAGAGACAGAGGCAGCGCTGCCAGACGGAATTGTGGGCTGTGGGGTAAACGAGGCTGACCTGGGGAGCTCTTCGGGTTGGGGTGGCCCTTCAGGTACAGGGCAGGGCATCAGACCTTTGTACCCCACATCCATATGTCATCAGTGTCCACATCCCCTCAGCCCTCCACAACTCAAAGTTGAACCACTGGGGTCACAATGGTTTAGGTGCCTGGGCTTAGATTCAGGTCCTATTGCCATTGTACATCCAAGGTGTGGCCTCAGGGCTGCTGGCAAACCTGGATCCTGACCTGTCATGGAGCTGAGACGGAGTCCCAGACCCACAGCCTGGCCCGTCCACCTGGGGAAGGGAGCTCCTATGCTAATCCTGCTGCTCCAGAGCCTACCACCAGCCCCAAGCCCTCAGGGCTCATCTGTCCACAGGTGGCTTCTACATACCCAGATGTGTTGGGAAAAATAACGAGAGGTACTGGGGGACAGAGCTGGAGGGGGCCTTCATTTTTATTTACTTTTTTACATTCTAATACTCTTTTCCTCAAAGTAAAATATGTATACATGGAAGATGCTTAAGTGTGCAGAGTAAATGATCACTCATTGAACACATATCCATTCATATTTAATATCTTGGGAGTTAAAATATTAATAGAATACACTTGTTATTTGATCACAAATAGCATACTTTGGGGAAAACAATGAGATTTTTCCAAACCAAAAAAAATGTGAGAAAAGTGGAGATTATTTTATATCCTTGCAAATCTCTTTAATGTACAAAAAAGGTGATTTAAAAAATGGTTGTTGGGCTTGAACTCAGGGCCTGGGCACTGTCCCTGAGCTCTTGTTTTAGAAAGGTGAATTTTTATATTAGCTTTATACTCCATCTGTTGCTATAGGGACTTCTTTTTTTACATATATGTTCATCTTTTCAAATGTCATATCACTCATCCATTCAAATCTTCTAAGTAAACAAAAAGAAAAAGCACAGAGAGATTTGGGACCCCTATGAGGGTCTCTCCAAACCTGCTGGGTAATGGCTTCTTGCCTAGTGCCTGGCTCTGGACAGCACAGCCCTCTTGGTGCAAGACTGCCCTGTGTAAATGATGGGATAAATGGGGGGCAGGACAGCACCACACACCTGCTCCGCCCCCACCCCCCACCCCGCACCGGGGACCCTGCTCACCAGCTGTAGGCGGTTTAGGCCAACCTCCCACCTCCTCCCTGCTGCAGGCCTGACCTATAAAGCCACCTGTGTGTCCTTACCGACCCTGGTCCCCTCCCTCGACACCCAGAGCCACAATGGCAGAGCTGCCTGTGACAGAGACACCTGGGGACCCTGCTCTGTGCCGTGGGCGCTTCACCATCAGTACATTACTGGGGGCCGATGAGCCCCCCTCGGCGGCTGCCTATGACAGCAGCCACGCCAGCCACCTGACCCACGGCAGCACCCTGTACATGCGTACGTTTGGTTACAACACCATCGATGTGGTACCTGCCTATGAGCACTATGCTAACAGCGCCCTGCCCGGCGAGCCCCGGAGGGTACGGCCCACATTGGCTGACCTGCACTCTTTCCTCAAGGTAAGTACCAGCTCGGGAAACTGGCCATCCCTGTGCGGTGGCCATAACTGAGTTACCCAACATCTCTGAGCCTGTGCCACAGGAACAGACAGGGGTCTTCCTCAGGGATTAAGGGGTCCACATAGAAGAGTGGGAGAGGTTCCATAAATTTCTGGGTTACATGAGTGGCTTCTGTTTATCCACGAGTGCCCTAAAGTTTAGAATGGGATGCTCAGAGAGAAAATTACCCTCAAACGAGCTGGAGAGGAGGAGGCTGGGAAGGTCCTCTCAGAGAGAAGCTTGCTGGATTTACCTACCGGGAGGCAGGGTGGATGAGGCTGGAGTGGATTCTCACCACGCCCTGTACAACCTCACTTTCCCCATCTGACAATTGGGTAGAATCATTCTAGATTCTGACGCTGAGACTTGTTGAGCTTATAAAGGTGCCTCCCCCTGCCAGAGGCCAGATGTGGCCTCCTGCTGAGACGAGGTGATGGGAGAAGGCCCCAGAGGTGAGGACAAGGCTCAGACAGCTGGCGGTCTTGCAGGGAAAGCCAGGAGAGCTAGCACAACCTGAGTGTTTGAGTCCTAGCCCTGCTGGGACCCACTGTGCAGCTGTGGATAAGCTGTTTCACCTCTTGGGAGTGGAGTACCAGTGTCCTACCCCTCTCAGGCTACGAGACTGGCCTGTGACATGAGCAGGAATGCCTTGAGCACCCAGCCTTCCATGGCTTCCTTGTGCTGTCAGGGAACCTGTCTGGGGATTGCCTGACATGTGGAACATGGGCAGGCAGGGATATGACTGGTGGTCTCTTGGCTCTCAGCAGGAAGGCAGCCACCTGCATGTCCTGGCCTTTGACAACCGGCCCAGCCATGAGCTGGTGGACGGGCTGGCGGAAGATGAGGCAGGTACCAACAGTCAGAAGAGCCCTGGGGAGCCCGTGCGCTTCGGCTGGGTTAAGGGAGTGATGGTGAGTGAGATATGGATGGGGGTGGGGTGGGGCTAGATGTTAAGTAACTTGGGCAAATTAATCAAGCCCTGCCTCAGTTTCCTCATTTGTAAAAGGAGGATAGAGGTGAAATCCTTGGCTCTAGTGGGGCAGGGGGTTATTAGGAGGAACTTCCCCTGTTTAGCCACCAGGTGGCAGCACTTAACACATAAATCCACAGACCAGGTGGTGGTTTTTTTTTTCTCCTATTGTTCTTCATGATGGAAAGGAATAAGACCACCAGACCTTTGCTTTGGAAGGTACTACAGACAGATACTACTGCAGGACACTACAGACAGGACTTGATGGGGAAAAGGAGAAACTTTAGTTCTGCTCTGAAAGGCAGGAGGAAGGCCAGCCAGATTCTCTTCTTAACTCTGTCAATTGCTGTGACTCTTCCTTAACCTATTCCGCTGAGTTTACAGTCAGGGTTGCCTAGTCCCCACGTGGGCCTGGGTGGCATCATAGAGCAGATGAAGGGCCCTGAAGCTCTCTGGGTGGTGAATACCACAAATAGAGTAGCAACTCTACCTTGTAATGTATTGGGGTCACAAGGCCCTAGCAGGCCCTTCTCCCTAGAACTTCAGCCCCAATCACAGACCCTGGTTTTGCTCAAAATCTGGAAACAAAGCTCACAGCACCCCAGTCTCTGATTTCTTTCTTCTGTGAGTGGGGCATTAACTGGCATTCACTGACTCCTTCACATACCAGGCGTCAGAGGCCGACATCTGCCACAGGGCCGTGGTTGGAGCTGGAAGGAATGGAGTCCTGGGCTCGGAATAGGGTCGCAGGGGACCCTGCTTGCAGCCCATCCTCAGGCTGAGAGGCTGAGGGATGGGAGTGGGTGGGAGCTAGAGGGCCTGAGCCTATAAAGTAAATAAAGCAAAAAGGAGTTAGATGCTCCTGGGAGTCTCTGATCTCCAATCTCCCCCCCAGATCCGTTGCATGCTCAACATCTGGGGTGTGATCCTCTACTTACGTCTGCCCTGGATAACAGCACAGGCGGGCATTGGTGAGTGCCAGCGGGGAGAGGGTGGAGGGCATGCTTGAGTCCTGGTTCTCTTCCTCCATGTCCCCCATGAAGCAGCCTTGACCTCAGGTGGCAGCGGCCCCAGGCCAGGTTTTCTTCTCCTTGGCCACTTTGGGTCCCTGTAGTGGCAGAGGTGAGGGTGGAGTGGCAGAGATGCGTTAGATGTAGAGTTGGCAGTCCTGTGGGTTTTCCCTGACTGTGTGACCTTCCTGAGTCCTTTCGCCTTCCTGAGCCAATTTTTACTACAAAGCATGCCAGTTCAGAACTTGCATTTTGAAAGACCAGTATACAGATGCTCACTCTGCAGCATGCTGTGTGACCTTGTACATGTTTCTTAACCCCTCTAAGCCTTGGTTTCCTCAGTCCCAGTAAACAGGGGCTGAGATTTACCTGTCTTGCAGAGTTATTGTGGAGTTTATACAATGCAGAAAAACCAGTATTTGGAGCCCAGAGGTGTTCTGAAGAGGCTACTAGCACCGTGTTTATTACCGGAAGAGGGCTGATTCCCCCCTACCGGCCATCTTTACCTGTTGCCTCATAAGCATGCCGGCAGGACAGGGACAAACACATTTGTCACATGACAAACTGAGGCTTAGAGAAGGGAAGGGGTGGGAATCATGTGGTGGATTTAGGGGTGGAGTCAGGTCCCTCCGTGGCTGCTCACTCAGTATTTACCCTGACTGAATTTCTGGGCCTCATATTCACCCCACACAGTCCTCACTTGGGTCATTATCCTGCTCTCGGTACTGGTGACCTCCATCACTGGCCTGTCCATCTCAGCCATCTCCACCAATGGCAAGGTCAAGTCAGGTGGGCCTCCCCCCAGCCCCTCCCCCCCATCTTCTTGGTCCTCCTTGCCCAGAAAACCCCTTTACGTTGGAGTTACCAAGGTAACTGGGACACTCTACACCCTAAGACAGCCCTGTGGCCACCCCTCCCCAGCTCTGTTGCCCTTCACCTGCCCCTCTGACTTGTGCCCCCACCCCTGCTCTGGCCCTGGTAGGTGGCACCTATTTCCTCATATCCCGGAGTCTGGGCCCAGAGTTAGGTGGCTCGATCGGCCTCATTTTCGCCTTTGCCAATGCCGTGGGTGTGGCCATGCACACTGTGGGTTTTGCGGAAACTGTGCGGGACCTCCTGCAGGTGAGGGGGGGTGGGCCCTGGGCAGAGGGAGTCGGGCCGGCCCCCCTCCTCTGCTCCTCCCATTGGGCTGCCCTTTCCTCTCTCACTCTATGTCATTCATCAGGGGCCACGGGCCCATCTGGCCACTCTGGGTGACAATGGCAGCTCATCAAGCAAAGACCAAGGGCCAAGGCCTTACAGCAGCCATCCTGGGGCAACTGCAGGCAGGGGAGGGGCTTGTGTTTGGGTCCTAAGGGTTCCTAAGTGGAATGGGGAGTCTGGAGAGACATGGGGTGCACAGGGGTGGCTGGTGACCAGCCTGGCCCCCATCAGGAGTATGGCACGCCCATTGTGGACCCCATCAACGACATCCGCATCATCGGCGTGGTGACAGTCACCGTGCTCCTGGCCATCTCCCTGGCAGGCATGGAGTGGGAGTCCAAGGTAAGGGGCCTGGCCCGGGACCAAGTAGGGAGGCTGCTGTAACAAGGCCTGGGGCTGGGGGCTGGTTCTGCCTCTTCTTGTGTGTATGAGCTAGGATTGCAGTTTTGCTGCTGTGACAAAGAGACCCCTAATTCAGAGAGACTTCATTTCTCTCTCATGTGATAATCCAAGAGGAAGCAGGGCAGGGCCAGCATCCTGGTTTCCATGGATGGGGGTGAGGTAGCCCCCAGGCCTCTCCATCCCCAGGTTGTGGGTCTTGTCCATCTGGTCCACAGTTGCCTCTATCCAAGCAGAGGAAAAGGGGGAAAGATTATCACAGAGCATGAGACTTCCCTTCCCCTGTCCTTTTCTTTTTTCTTTTTCCTTTTTTTTTTTTTTTGGTCAGTTGTGGGGTCTGAACTCTAGGCCTGGGCACTGTCCCTCAGCTCTTCAGCTCAAGGCTAGCACTCTACCACTTGAGCCACAGTGCCACTTCTGGCTTTTTCTGTTTATGTGGTGCTGAGGAATAAAACCCAGGGTCTCAGGCATGCAAGGCAAGCGCTCTACCACTGAGCCACCTTCCTCTGTCCCCTCCCCTGTCCTTTTCTGCCAAAGCTGGAAGAACTTGGTCTGAAGGTTACAAGGGACTCTGGGAAATAGGATCTTTGCACCATGTACCGAGCCAAGAGCCAGAGGTTTAAAATAGATATAAGGGGAGAAAAAGCATTAGCCTACAACCAGCAGGTGCATCCAGAAGAGTGGCCTTCAAACCCAGTAGGACCCGGTCCCTGAGACTGCCCCTCTCCCTTGTGGCTCTCTGGCCATAAAAGGACTATAGCTCAGTCTCCAGCTGTTCATTGCTCAGCTCAAACATCTGGGGCCAGGGCATCTGCTTACATAGGCCCAAGGCCATCACCCTCTTGTGTTCTTACTCTGAAATCACCCTGTATAATCAGCGGAGACAAGAGGCCATTCTGCTCCCTGACGATTCCCCAGCAGCTTGAGTATTGCTTGCTGTGTGCTGGGTGCTGGGTGAGAGGCTGAGGGGCTGATGGAGGGTGCCAAGCCTGCCTCCCTGGTTGGGACCGCCTGGAGGTAGCCTGGGAGCCACCATCTGACGTCTGGGGTCCTTCACCCCCCCCATCTAGGCCCAAGTGCTGTTCTTTCTTGTCATCATGGTCTCCTTTGCCAACTACTTGGTGGGGACGCTGATCCCCCCGTCCGATGACAAGGCCTCCAAAGGCTTCTTCAGCTATCATGGTATGTGGGGGGGGCAGTTCATCCATGAACATGACCCAGTGTGTGGGCAGCAGGGAGATGAGGTCCCCATGCTTCAGGGTGAGGGGTGACTGGTCAGCCCAGCCAGGGTCCCCAAGCCCTCCAAGCAGTTCTGACTCACACCTTGGTTTCCTAGGGGACATTTTTGTCCAGAACTTGGTGCCTAACTGGCGAGGTGTTGATGGCAGCTTCTTTGGAATGTTCTCGATCTTCTTCCCCTCAGCTACGGGCATCCTGGCTGGAGCCAACATCTCTGGGGACCTCAAGGTGAGCAGAGCACATTTCCCTGTGTCTTGACGCTATGGGGGCTGTGGGCTGTCTTGCTATCTGGCTGTCAGATGTGGTGCTGGGCACCAAGCTGGTCACAGAGTCTGTGGGCAGGATGGGGGGCGTTAGAAGTTCTGAAATTCAGTCCAGTTCACTCAGTTCAATCTTGTTCCATTCTTTTCTTTCTTTCTTTTCCCTTGATCATGGGGCTTGAACTCTGGGCCTGGGTGCTGTCTCTCAGCTCTTCAACTCAAAGCAAGTGCTCTACCACTTGAGCCAGAGTGTCATTTCCAGTTTTCTCGTGGATAATTGGAGATTAGAGTCTCACAGTCTTTCCTGTCTGGGCTGGCTTTGAACTACAATCCTCAGATCTCAGCCTCCTGAGTAGCTAGGATTACAGGTGTGAGTCACCAGTGCCTAGCTCTTGTTCCATTCTGCTGCCTGACCAGCAAAGGCCACAGTCCACATTTCTGGATTGACTAGTGGTGAAATGTGGCATCAGGGTAGAAGTATGAAGTGTCTGGCACTTGGAGGATGTCTGAGGTCTGGCTAGCTGCCCCCTTGGCCCAGAGAATGACTGACCCAGCTATGACTTAGCAAAACTGCTAGACTGTAAGCTGATACCCACGCCTTTCAGGGCTTCAGTTTGTTTATTGGTTTGATGTATGTGTGTATGCTGTTCCTGGGATTTGAACTCAAAGCCTGGATGCTGTCCCTTATCTTTCTTTGCCCAAGATGGGTGCTCTACCACTTAAGCCACAACTCCACTTAAAGTTTTTTTGCTGGTTAATTGGAGATAAGACTCTCACAGCTTTATCAGGCTTTGATCCTCAATCCTCGGACCTCATCCTCCTGAGTAGCTAGGATCATAGACACGAGCCACCGGCACCTGGCTCTCCACAGCTTTGAGGCAGGCGGCTCCTTGCTTGGTCCTCAAGGCTCCAGCCAGCTACCCAGCCTCAGCCCTCAACACTGCCACCATCTCCACGCCCCCTCTGGCCTTTGACTGTGTGTCGTCTCTAGCTAGGCCACCCTGCCCTTATTTCTTCTCCTTCTCAACTTCTATTCCCTTTTCAAACCCCTCTTCCAGCATCTCGACCTGGCCTTCTCTCAGTGGTGATTCTCCCAGGACATTGCAACCCAATGTCTGTGTCTGCTTTCCCCAGTTTAGCGTAGGACACAAGCGAGGGCCTGCATCCACGTTTGTGGATTGAATAGTGATGAAAGGTAGTGTCAGAGCAGAAGTACGATGTGGGGACAGACAGACTCATCACAGCAGGTTAATTAGCTGGAGGTAGGGCTGGAGCTGGACTTTGAAAGATGAGTGGCCTGAGACGCCTCTGCTGACAGCAGGATGCAGCAAACCAGTGAGTGTGTGACCAGCGGGGACCTTGGCCCTGGGCTGGAAGCATAGCTAATGCTGCCGACCCAGTCCCACTCTGATACATGCTTGCTTACTTGCGTGCTCTCTCTCTCTTCCCCCTTTTCTCTCTGCCACTCCCACCTCCCTTGCTTGGCTTTTTCACTCAAGGTTGGCTCAGCACATCTCTCTCTCTCTCTCTCTCTCTCTCTCTCTGTCTCTCTGTCTCTGTCTCTTTCTGCATTTCTGGGGCTTGAACTCAGGGCCTGGGCACTGTCCCTGAGCTTCTTTTGCCCAAGGCTAGCACTCTACCACTTGAGCCACAGGGCCACTTCTGGCTTTTTTTGTTTATGTGGTACTGAGGACAAACACCAGGACTTCATTCATGCTAGGCAAGCAGTCTACCACTAAGCCACATTCCCAGCCCCAAGCACATCTCTTTTGATTGGCTAATTAGAGATAAGAGTCTCTTGGACTTTTCTGCTTGGGCAGATCTCAGCCTTCTGAGTATTACAGCTGTGAGCCACCAGTGCCTGGCTTGGGTTCTTTTGTTATTTTTGTTTCCTCCCCCCCCCCCCCGCCAGAAAGCATCTCACTACATAGCTCAGGCTCACCTTGAACTCTCAATTCTCCTGCCCATGCTTTCCAAGTGCTGGGATTACAGGCAGGAACCATTAGGCTCTGCTTTTAAACTCCAGGGGGCTGGCTGACAAGGTTTTGCTTCCTCTGAAGGCTCCAGGATTGGATCCTTCCTGGCTTCCTCTCGGATGTGGTGGGTTCTGACAATGGTGTCCTGGTCCTGCTGTTTGTCCCTCTGATGTGTACGCCGTTCTAATCATGTGGAGCTCTTTCCTCTATGTCTCTATGTCCCGTCTTCTCTAGAGACTCCTGTCCTTGCATTTGAGGCTCACTTATTCCATATGACCTCACCTTTGCAAATCATATCCCATTTCCAAAGAAGGTCACATTGGGAGGTTCTGGGTAGACATGCATGGTGTGTGGGGGGGTGTAGCACACTCTCACACCAGCAATAGGGCAGGAGTCAGTCCTGGTCTGTTGGCTTTGTAGTGGTAAACTCCAACCCCACAGAGCACCCAACCCCACAGAGTTATCTAGGTTGCTGGGACCCCTGGCAAGCCTAGGGGCCTCCTAAGACTCCAGCCTCCCTCCTCTCTGCCCCTCTGGCTGGCTGCATCCTCCCTCTACATTTCAACCTGTCTCTAATCTGGAGTTCTATTTGCCAAGCGGGGATGAAGCAGAATAGCCTAGGGAAAGCTGGGGTTTAGAGGTGGGCTGCTGAAGCACACTGGCCTAGCTCCAGGCTGGGGTCTGTGTCTAGAGGGTGGTATGGGTCTTGAACTTGCTGTAGAAATCCCTGTGTTGTTGCTCCCGGATCAGCCACTAAGATCTGAAGTTGTGGCCTTCAGCAGGGTCAAGCCCAATAGTCACCAGTGGCTTCTGGAACCGGGGCTTCCTTACAATGCACCTGCCAGGTGAGGCTGTCCCTGAAATCACATTTGAGAAATGACTAGAAATGAGCAGGTGATATGAGCAAAGCATGCGCTGAGTTCTTTGTCAGAGCAGAAGGAGACATTTGGGGCTGGTCTGGATCCAGACAGGTGGATCTGTCCGTGGTGGCTTAACACGTCCAGAGGGCTGACAGTGGGCAGAGCCAGGGGAGGGACCCATTCATCTCACCAACAAAGCCATCCCACATCGGCCACCCCTCATCTGCTTCACAGTAAGGGCTGAGGCCCTGGAGCTGAGCTGAGCTGAGCTGTGCTGGCACAGAACCCTGCCAACTAGATCCTCAACTTCAGCCCCCGGGTGTGGGTCTTCTCTCCTGCCTTGGGTGTCAGAGGTGGTCCCAGCCCTGTGACCATGGCCAAGTCCTTAGTCTCAAGAATCTTCCTCTCCATGTTTCCTTTCTGAGGGGCCCAAGTCAGGGGCACTTGCCCACCTTGGCCTTAGACAAGATGTGGGGAGGACCGATGGAGGTCCAGGGGTGGTCTGATGCTCAGTGTCCCTCCCACAGGACCCTGCTGTGGCCATCCCCAAGGGAACACTCATGGCCATTTTCTGGACCACTGTCTCCTACCTGGCCATCTCGGCCACCATTGGTGAGTGGCTGGCCCCCACCCTGAACACTGGGAAGGCCCACAGGGTGTGGCTCGTGAACAGGCAGAGTTGGGCTGGAGGATACAGTTCTTCCATTGCCATCTCTGGGGGCCAAGGAGAAGCCCACCCGCCCACCCCTAGGCTTTCCCCTTCTCAGGCTCCTGTGTGGTGCGCGATGCCTCTGGGAGCCTGAACGACACGCTGGCAGCCAGCCCAGGAGCCTGCGAGGGGCTGGCCTGTGGCTATGGCTGGAACTTCACGGAGTGTGCCCAGCAGCACAGCTGTCGCTATGGCCTCATCAACTACTACCAGGTCCTGGGCCTCTGGCTCTGTGCTGCAGATGGATGGGGACGTGGTTTGGGGATCTGAGCCCTGGACTCAGGGGGAGAGGTGCTGGCTCCGGCGCCCAGTCCCCGTCTGCGAGTGGGCCTGGGGTACCCCGGGGAGGGCTGTGGACTCCCATCCAGGTGTCAGGACCAGTCTTCGCCTTGGTGGGGTCCGGGATGTCAGCTCAGCCCTCCCTGTCCCTGTAGACCATGAGCATGGTGTCTGCCTTCGCTCCCCTGATTACAGCCGGCATCTTTGGGGCCACCCTCTCCTCTGCCCTGGCCTGCCTTGTCTCGGCTGCCAAAGTCTTCCAGGTGAGGCACGGGCAGGGGCCTGGGGTCCGGCTGGGGGCGGGGCCACGATTGGGAGGGGCCAGAGTAAGGGAGGAGCCAAGAAGGGGAGGGGCCAGGGCAAGAGGAGTCTGAACTGGGGGCGGGGCCATTCCAGGGGCGGGGCCATGCCAGGGAGGGGCCAGACAGGGGGCGTGGTTAGTCTGGGGGAGGGGCCAGCTGAGGAGTTTGGGCTAAGGGGCGGGGCCAGACAAAGGGGTCTGGGCTCAAAGCCCAGGTGGAAGGGTCCCCTGTGACTGCTATAAAGTCCCAGAGGGCTCACGTGACAGGGTCTAGACGGAGGGGGCAAGGTGCCAGGCAGGCCAATGCTTGAAGGAAGTGTCCCCTTCCTGTGGGGCGACTGGAGGAACCCCTTGTGTCTCCCCTGGGGCCTCCCCGCAGCTTTTCTGCAGTCTCAGCACCCAAAGCTCCCGGATGCAGTGGCCCCTCTCGCTCTGCCCTTATCCTGTGTCAGATCGTTTAACAAAACCAGAAATCAGGGACCAGGCTGGGCGAGGCCCTGCCGAGGTCACGGAGGGACGGAGGGACAGGAGGGAGCACAGAGGCTGGAACCCAGGTGGTCCCGGGGAGGAGGGGGCGGCCAGGTGGTGAGCGTGGCGCCCCTACCCGCAGTGTCTGTGCGAGGACCAGCTGTACCCGCTAATCGGCTTCTTTGGCAAAGGCTATGGCAAGAACAAGGAGCCGGTGCGTGGCTACCTGCTGGCCTACGCCATCGCCGTGGCCTTCATCATTATTGGTAAGAGGCTGTCAGGCCTGGTGAGGGCCTGGCCTCTCTCCTGGCCCAGCGGTCCTCAGCTCGTCTGCATGCTGCCAGCCTGGCACAGGGGGGCGCTCATCCAGGGTTTGGTGCTAGGAACTGAACCTGGGGCCAGGCACGTGATTACCACACACATCTCTGAGCCACACTCCTCCCAGCCCCCAACTTCCCAGGAAGTCTTAGGGAGGACCCAGTGATGGGTCCCTCCTCTCCCCCTTCACCCCCTTCAAAGAGGGCAGTGAGCCACTGTGCTTTGTTGGAAGGACATCAGCTGTGTCCCTCTGGTTCTACACCCCGAGACCTGCCACCTCTGCTCCCCAGGTCTAAAGGAACTCCCAGGGCTGCTTTGGATCATGGTGGTCACTTTCTGGGAGGTGGGGGTTGATACAAATCTATGCAGGTGGATGGGCTAGACAAGCCAGTTTCCTTAGACTGAACTACTAGCCTGGTTTTTCCATGTGCCTGATCCGTGGCATTGAACAAGTTCTCCGAGCCTCAGTTTCTCATCTGTAGAATTGGAGCAATAGTGCATAGCAGGTAGGGCCCAGGTGGGCAGGAGACCATGTGTAGAGACACACCCACGCACCATGCTTGACTAACATAGCTGAGGAAGCAGAGCTCACTAAAAGAGAAGTAGCAGCCAAGCACAGGCGGTGGCCATGCTGAGTGCTTTCACCTTTAGGGGTGAATGGGGATTAGTGGGGTGCAGGTGAGTCCTCCCCCAGCTCACAGCCATTTCCCTGCTGCCTAGCCTGGCCCCAGAGCTCACTAAACCATAAGACTTACCCAACAATCTAGCCAGTCTCTCAGGGAAGCTTCCAGACACAAAATGCTGGATCCTGGGACTGGATGTGCAGCTCAGTGGGTAGAGTGCTAGCCAATGAGTGAAAGCGTCAGGTAGCAAGTTCAAGAGCATCTAGAATCAAGTTTAAGCCCGGGTCTCAGACCTAAAAAACAAACAAAAAAAAAAGGAATCCTGGATTCTGAGCCAATGGAAGCAGTGTGCTGTTGGGGGATGGAGCCTGACCTTTGCTGGCCCCATCCATCTTCTTGCTCAGCAGAGCCCCTAACTCCACTTCTCTACAGATACTCCCCCCTTGACTCACACTCGATAGCTTTGGATCTGGGGGGTTCTGGGACTATGGCTTCAGATGCTCAGGAGCACTGAGTGTGGCAGGATCAGCACCTAAGTGGTGCTCATCTCAGGGGGGTCCCCAGGGAGGCACACGCACACACAACTTTATCAGGGGTGTTGGAGCCAAGTGACACAGGGAAGGGAAGGAGGCACCGTGCGTGGGGCTGAGATACGGTCCCAGGGGCCTGAGTCACATTGCCACATGTATCTTTGCTGTAGTTTGTGGTTCAAAAGAGCCGCCCCAGCCACTGCCCTCTGTCATCCCATAGCCTGGTGGGGCTCATTCCCATACTAGGACACTCTCCCCCCAATCCGCATACACATGTCAGCTTACAGTTTATAAGACACTGTCACTAAGAGCTTCACTAAAGGATGGACCTATTTCACAGATGGGAAGGTTGAGATCCGGCCTTGGGGGAGGGCCTGCCCTGGGGTCCCCTACCCTTTTGAGTTTGAATGGCAGGCAATTCCGTGCTAGAGTCACGCAGCAAATTGCTATCTCTTTCCCTGGGTGCCTGAAGCTGAGCTCAACACCATTGCGCCCATCATCTCCAACTTCTTCCTGTGTTCCTACGCCCTCATCAACTTCAGCTGCTTCCATGCCTCCATCACCAACTCCCCCGGTGAGCAGACCCTCCACCCATTCCAGGGAAGAGGCCTAGAGGGGCCGGGTGGGAATGGGAGCCAGGGGTGGAGGCGGCCAGCCCAAGCTCATTCCTCAAGTTGAAACCTTGTGAAGGGAACATAAGGACACTAAAGCAGCCGCCACCCCTTCCCAAGTTCTTACAGTGATTCAGATTCGCATGTTGTTTGCATTCTGTGGAGTTGTTCTAGTTCCTACTTTCACCAATATTTCAGGAGCCAGCAGATTCCCCAGAGGGAAGAGGATTTCCCAAAGTCTAGGGGCTGTCCCTGACAGTGCTGTCACCGCACTCTGCTTTGTCTTGAGCTAGATGCTTGGGCCCTAGGGTGAGCCCTGGCCAGCAGGGTAGGGGGACAGGCCTCCCCCAGAGCATGCCCAGCAAGGAAGCAGCTGCAGGGCCCATCCTCCTGTGTGGTGGTATGGCCACTTGACCCTGCTCTGAACCCAGGAGGAGGCTCTGGAGCCTGGGGCATGCACCCTGAGCTGGGCCTTCCCCCAGGGTGGAGACCCTCATTCAGGTACTACAGCAAGTGGGCAGCACTGTTCGGGGCGGTGGTCTCCGTGGTCATCATGTTCCTGCTTACCTGGTGGGCGGCCCTCATCGCCATCGGAGTGGTGCTCTTCCTCCTGCTCTATGTGATCTACAAGAAGCCAGGTGTGTTGGTGAGGGCTGGGTGGGCTCAGTCCCCATGCCAGATCAACAGGCAGCCAGGTCTGCCTTGGCTGGTGCTGCCCATTCCAGCTCTGCCTTTCCCAGAGCACCAGGCTGGTCTACCACCACTCGTCTCTTCATGGGAAAAAGTGCTCAAAAGGACCTAACTATTGAGAGATCACCCAGGACCAGGTACCCCCACTCAAAGGGCCCAGAATCAGATCCTGAGAGGGGCTAGCCCCTGGAGCTTGCACACTTAGTGTAACACCACACTAAGTCTGAACCACTACTTGCAAGGTAGTTCAAAACCAGTTAAGATCCTTTCTCAAAAACAAGTTGTAAATGGTGGCACACGCACACCTGTAATTGCAACTAATTGGGAGGTGAAGATTGGAGGGTCATGGCCCAAGATCAGCCCTGGACAAAAAAATTGCCAGACTTCTACCTGAAAAACAAAGCAAAAAGCCTGAAGGGTGACCAAGAGGGGGCTGTGAAGGGTGGTGGCTCATCAGGGGAACAAGAGTCTATATGCAGGCAGCAGAGACCCAGCATGGGGAAACCCAACCCCAGACAGCCTAGAACTCCACATTTGAACCTGAACTTGACCTTGTTTGTCAGGGTTGGGGAATACTTTGTAGCATTCAGGATCTTGGTCTTTAAGTGTGCACCTATCCAGCTTGTGTCCCAGCTCTGCTGGGCAGCCCCGATCACTACCTCCCTCTTCTCCTCATATGACCAGATTTTGTTGTTGTTGTTGGTGGTGGTGGTGGTGTTGATTGTTGGGCTTGAGCTCAGGGCCTGGGTCCTGTCCCTGAGTTCTTTCACTCAAGGGTAGAGCTCAATGACTTTGAGCCACAGCACCACTTCTAGTTTTTTGGTGGTTAATTGGAGATGACGGGGACTTTTCTGCTTGGGTTGGCTTTGAACTGTGATCCTCAGATCTCAGCCTCCTGAGTAGCTCAGATTACAAGCGTGAGCCACCAGTGCCCAGCTCACATGATCAGTTTTGTTCCGGTGATTTCTGAATCTTGTCCACAGAGGTGAACTGGGGCTCTTCCGTGCAGGCCGGCTCCTACAACCTGGCTCTCAGCTATTCGGTGGGCCTCAATGAAGTCGAAGACCACATCAAGAACTACCGGTGACCAGTGTCCGGGACCGCAGGCAGAACTGGGGTGGGGGAAGTCCAGCCTGGGGGAGGAGCACCACCTGACCATCAGAAATTAGGATGGGCATTGCCTAATGGGGGGCTGAGCAAGGAAAAGAGTCCACTGGGAGAGTGATCTGGGGAACAAAGGAACAGAAGCAGGCAGCCCCAGATCCCCCTCGAAGCTGGCAGAGAATCATGCACCTTTCTGCCTTCTTCCTACCTGATTATCTGTTTATGTCACACATTGGGACATAAATGTGTGACATTTATGACACAAATGAGGACAGTGAGACTCAGAGAGGCTAAGTAACTTACCTGACTAACTTTGTGCACAGCTGCTGAACATGACCCACTGAGTCTGGCTTTGACTGATCAGTACCAGTGCCCCCTGATTACTACCCTGTTTTGCCTCTCGGAGGCTCAGTCCTCTGCCTAGATAACACAGTGGGCTTGCAGATGGTGGGCCTCCTTATCAGCAGTCTTTATTGGTTCATCAATGTGCTGGGCAGGGCAGGGCAAAGGAAGGGTATCTGGTAAAGGGTCAGGTGGTCTGAGCAGGGAAAGAAGAGAGACAGGGATAGCATCATACCAAGTCTAGAAGACTACTTGATAGGCAGTTTGAGGCCAGTTTGTGCAAAAAGTTAGTGAGCTCAAAAAACAAGCTGGGTGTGGTGGCACATATCTATAATCTCAGCTACTTGGGAGGTGAAAATAGCCCAAGATCAGCCTAGGGCAAAGTTGCCTACTTGAAAAACAAACTAAAAGCAAAAGAGCTAGGGGACATGACTCAAGTGGTAAAGCACTTGCCTACCTAGCACATTTAAGGCTGTACTTGGTGTGTGTGTGGGGGGGAGAAAAGTCCCTAGAAACACAGGCAGAAAGTGAATCCCAAGGCCATACCAGGATTCAGGATGATGTTGAAGCCAGGTGAGCTCCCAAGGTACCTCACTTAGTACCAGGAACCCTGGGGACTTCCCTGATGGCTCTTTCCCCTTTTCCTTTTCCTTCTCAGTCCCCAGTGCCTGGTGCTCACAGGTCCCCCCAACTTCCGCCCGGCCCTGGTGGATTTTGTGGGCACCTTCACCCAGAATCTGAGCCTGATGGTCTGTGGCCACGTGCTCATTGTAAGTGTCTGGAGAGATGGAGCAGGGCCAGAGCCATCGGGACTGCTGGCAGGGGAGGGGGGGAGCGGGGGGGGGGGAGGAGGCAGCAGAGGCTGGCCAGG